CGTTGTTGTATAGTTGTCGCATGGCCTAATACACCACGACACGAAATAGTTACAGAGAACAGGAAGAGCAGGAGCGTATCACCGATTATTTACGACAAAAAAACAAGACCGTTTACTGACAAAAGCTTCCTCTTAAGGGGAGGTTGGAGTCCTAGGATCCATAGTGATCTAACTGACTGCAGTTCTAATAGAGAGGGAAATTCCCTGTGAAATAGTTGCCTTCCATATGGTATATTGTGTATAAATCATTAGCTGTAAAAAAATTGCACATTTTATATTACTATTAATTTCATCTATCAATATTTATTTATTTGGTGGTATTTTTACAAATAATATAGGTACTTTTTCAATTGTTTCATTAGGTAAAAAAAATAGTGCTACAATTATTTTTCAAAAATGTTCATTGTTTCCGTTTAACGATTTGTCAAAACAACGCAAGTTTCTTACAAATATAGGTTATTCCGGACGACGATCTCACTACGACAGACGAGGAATTGTCCAGGGACACTGGTAAGGAGGACAGAACACGACCCACATCAGAACCCGAATGATGACTACATGGACACTTCAGTCGAGGAGCTTTCTCCTAAACAGCGCAGTAAATACCGTTCATCGGTCAAGTTCCTTAAGAAGTTGACCATGACGGACTCCACCCTGTTTACACAGACGGAACGGATGCTGATGAAGAAGCATGAGTGCAACGTCAGGAAGTACGAGAGAAGATCCGAGGCGGATCGCACTCTCATCGCTCTCGGCGTAAGCTCTAGCACGGACACGGACACGAACAGGACGAAGCAGGTCAAACCACTGCCGATAGCCAAAACGGCTTCGGGGAAGAGGAAGGGCGGCTTTAACCCCAGCAGCTGCAACGAAAAAGCAGGCAAACACAACGCCCACTGTCTCCAAGGGGAAGAAGGCGCTCCCTTCAATCTCTACGGCTGCAAAGACGGCATCGTGGGAGTCAGCTATGACACTCGCAGGTCCACAGCCTCAGGCTTCCAAGGGCAGACCAAAGACACAACTACAGTTAAAGGGAAGAAGAAGCCCACTTCGACCCAGAGACCCGTAGTCTGTGATCTGGTAACAGAACAAACGAGAAAACCGAAAAGCTCCAACATGGTCTTGGTTAAGTAACACACGGAAAAGAAGATATCTTCCAACCCATAGGGAACTGGAAGCCACAAAAGGCCGGAGCTGCTAAAAGGCTTAGGTCGGAAGATTCCACAAAGTCGTCCACCAAAAAGAGCAGGCTTGAAGAAATTCAAGCTTGCTTGGGCCTCAATGAGGACCTTTAGGTGGCTATTGTCGACCTGAGCAACCCTGAAGTGGGCTCACAGGCTTATTCTGGAGGCCTTCATTCGAATGCAATCCATGCTGCCATCACTGACTGGGAAAACCCGTTTGACCCAATCTTCGAGGCCATAAAGTGGTACAAAAGAGCCAAATCATCAGAGCGAACTTTGTGCAGGGGCGAGGATCCAAGTTATACCGCTGGCCATATTCCTGAGAGGACGATCATTGAAGTATGGATCATCCAGCAATGGAGAATGTAAAAATACTGGACCTGATCAAACTCCAGAACAAGAAGCTCGGCACAGCTGACTGGGCCTTTTGCAGGGGACAAAGACAACGGCAAGGATATCTGGATCAGCATCGGTTCAGACTCCTTGCAAAACTTTGAAACAAGCAATGCTCTTTGCGGCTTGGGTCGGGCAGCCTTCGGGCTCAAATTCTGGTCCACAAAGGAAAAGATTGTGTGGGCAATAAAGTCGTTCAAACTTTACAAATCAGCGAGACCGAACGGCATCATTCCTGCAATGCTCCAAGCGGTTACCAAAAACTCGATTCCTGGCTGTCCATGATTTTCAAGTGGGATACACTCCCAAAAAAAGGTGGAGGTGGTCTTCATCCCCAAGGCTGGGAATATAAACCACTGCTTGCCGAAGGACTACAGGCCCATAAGTCTATAATCGTTTTCTCTGAAAACCTTAGAACGACTAGTGGATCTCTATCAAAGGACCCGCATCAACCCACACAACTTTGGCAGCGCACCTACCTCAAGGGTTGGTCAGTTGACTCAGCACTGCACGAGATGATGGAGACAATTGAAAAGGCTTGAGAGACCAGAGAGCTTGCGATGGCAGCATTCCTCGACGTCGGGGGAGCCTTCAACCATGTCGGAATCGAATCGGTAGTTTGGGGGATATACAGCTCAAGCTTTCGAAGGAAGCGTCCTAGACGCAAAACTCTCCTGGAAAAGAAACACTGAGGAAAGGATGAAAAAGGCACTCGGGGCCCTTTGCATCGGCAAAAGAACTTTCGGACGGAGCTGACGACTGCAACCGTACATCATTCACTGGTTGTACACAGCAGTGTCAGGCGGCGCTCAATGCCCTTCTGAATTTGACACCGATAAGCACAATCCTTTAGCAAACAGCAGCAATAAATGCGTTGCGACTAGACGCACTGTAAATCTTTCAGTCAAGGGCTACTGGTCACGAAACAATACTTCAAGTAAAGGGCTGCCGAACCGTGTCAGGAGAATGTGACTATCGTCCTCCGGAAACTACCTGGAATAGGAAATACAAGAGTATAACTGATTGTTAAACTGTGACAATCTCGATACTGTGTTGGTGTTATCTGTCCTTGATACCATCGACAAATAGTTTAGACCTCCGATTAACGACTGGTATTTGGTAATGTCTTCTTGCTAGCTGCAATTTCTCCTTAATCGTTCCCATCGTAAACGGTGTGGGTGCTGGCTTGCACTGGTCTATATCCCTTTCTGAAAACATGTTCTGGGTAAACCGATGCTGATGAATAGATAGGTCTCCCTGTAGTCTGACTATGTCTACTTGAAGTCCAAGGTAGTACTTTACAGGTCCTCGGTCAACTGCATCAATATGCTCGTTCCATTTCATTATAATCGCCACTAATCTCTTGTGATGCGAACATTCCATTCGGACTTTTTCATTCGACGAATATCTCCGGCTGTCACATGTATAAATCTTCTTGTAGACTTCCATCGAAAATGACCATGTAAAAGAACCATAAGACTTTTAGTTCGCAAAAAGTGTACTAAAATCGGTTGATCATTCTTAAAGATATTAGTAAACTATAGAAAAAATAAAGTCCTTAAATTAAAAATAGAACAAATAACAGAGCTGATGGAAAAGTCTAATATATCATAGTTATATGCGCTTGGGCTTGCAAAAAACTTCTGTTTGCCTGCTTTATTAGTACGAAAGCTATTAGCCACTCCTATCAATCCACCATCATATGTTGTTGATTAATTTAGAGTACCAGTTCTGGTCGATGAATTGAGAGCGGGTGCTAATAGAGTTGAACGATCTTCAAAGCTTTTAACGCAGCGAACTTCGCCACCGTCTCCACTGCTTCTTTCTCGTTTACATAAACTGAAGCATTTGAGTTTATCCCAAGCCATTGCAGATTTAGTTGTTGTTTTTCCTGCTATCGGTAAGCGGCAACCGCCAGCAAAACCCGTACTTTGTCATTTATGGACTCCATCTTTACCATGACAGCAGGGTCCGTATTTCTCAATTCCATTACCGTTAGAGGTCCAAATGGATATAATTTATAATGTAACTGAAAGAACCTTGTGGGAGGGTGAGAATCGGAGAATAAAGTTAATCGAAGCTCTCTGAACTTGTGTGGTGTGCATCCGCATTGCTGACCTTTCTTCGGCAGTGTAGGTTTTCAGAAAACTTACGGACATTTAAAAAACAGAATATACTATCCAAAATTACTAGAACTGGTGCAAATATGAGCTGTGTAAACAAATTAATTATGATAGAAAATCAAAAAAGAACAAATGTAAGAGAAATAAAACACCATCAGATAAGAATTAAATTGTCCATATGTCTATATTACGTAGTAAAAAATTCACATTAGCTAACAGCTATAGACATGTTATCCGAGTTTGCTGCAGCAAATGATAGAAATCACATGACAATAGAAGAACATCTAGAAGAATAAGAAGGTCAAATAAAATCATATTTGATAAAATAATAATAATCTCATAATGAGTTTAACTCGATCAGAATTAAATAATTATTAATCGAAGAAATAATATATAGCTACATCTAACTAAACCAAATAGTCACACGGACAAATATATATCATATATATGTTATATATTAAGGTGTCAAGAAAGTCTTCCGGTATTTTTGCTAAAAGTTGTATTTGTATATTGTTGTATTCATCGCCTCGGGTTGCAGCATGGGACTGGCAGAGAATCATTTAGTATGAGCTGCTTCTCTATGGCCAAACAACCAATTCGGACCTATACTGCCAACAACTGGACCGCTTCATGACAGCACTCATGCAGAAGAGGCCATTTTCAACTGAGGCCGAATTGTCTTCTATCAGGACATCACCAGGCCACACACTCTTTGGTTATGCGCCAGAAGCTCCGGGAGCTTGGAATTAGAGGTTATTTTGCATGTACCGTAAAGCCCGGACCTCGCACCAAATGATTACCACCTGTTTCTGTTGTTTGGTAGTCGAAAGTTGGCCACAAATTGGAAAGCGAGCTACTGTAAGAGGGGCATTATGAGGATTGCATCGCTTTGGCAACTAGTCATCAAAGAAAACAGTTCATATTAGACTTAAATCGCATGATTGAAACCATTTCTATGAATAATTGAAAATTCAATAAAAATAAAAATGGTGTCCATTATATTTGTAGGCTTCGTGGTTTTTTCCGCCAACATCTGTTTGAATTATAAGCTCAGAATTCAAATTAACTGAAAACATGTATTAAGCCCAATCGGATGTATTTCAGGAATAAAGCGTGTCAATTATGAAGTATAATATAAAGATGGAAAATTTTCAACACCAGCCAGGACTGCTAAATGTGCTAATAAATATGCGGCGAACCAATATATTTCAAAAATTACCAACTCGATTTAGTAAAATTCTTTTGTAATGTTAAAAAAACATTTATTTTAATTACTTAAAGACATATAATTTTCATTTAATTATAGTTCGGAAGACATTTTAATTGCAAAAATCTCATTTCTCAAATCTAATTTACTCACTCAAATATATTTTGTTTAAAAAATTCCTTTTTTTAATCTTTTATAGGGGTTTTAGATATAGATAATTGTAGATAAAAACATATAAATGCGAGTTCGTTTGTCTCTATTGTTTGTAATAGAATTGTGACTTTGTTATCAATGTTGTATTCTTTTTATAATATTGTTATTGGGACTGACTTCTATTTTTGTATAAATTTTTATATCTTGTGGATTTTCTACTGCATCATCTGAAGATATCTATTTTCCTCCAACAAGGATGTCAGGGATGTTGTCATATCGTTAATCACCATATTTGTTCCAGGATATGGGTGTGTAGAGCTGCTGACATCAGGCCACAATGTATTGCCTGATTGCATTGTAGATATGCAGCGGATTTGATCGACTGAAGTATTTTTTGTCTCCATCCAGTCTTGACAACTTTGTACATATTGTAGAGTACGCTGGTATGTATCAGATTGCATTGGACTAACATTATCCACATGTGTGTCAGAAACTTGGGTGTTAGGTTGACAGGCAAATTTTGAAATTGTTAAGGGTTGTGTTCTAAAGGTGGAAATCCGACCATCGCTATTTATATTTAAAGAAGGAGATATTTGAGATTGGCTTATGATGCCACATTGGATCTCATTGTCATTGGCTGAATTTAATTTGGAAACATTTTCTGGGTCAATTCGAGAAAATATTGGAACTAAATTAAGCTCTGGCAAGCTTGTCATCGATGAGTCAAATATTTGATTCTGAGTTGGCTTTGTAATTTGTGGCTGATAGACTGATGGAGGGGGTGGCTGTAGTTTCGTTTGTTGATGGGGCACAGCGACGGTATTTAATTGTCTCTGACTGTACTTTCCACCGATTTTTGTCATGGTAAAATCTTCATGTGCGGACAGTTTCGGTGTAATTGGTTGTACATCTTTTAAATCATCAAAGTTAGAGGTCGGTTGTGAAATTGGTTTATTTGATGGATTAAAATTTGACTGTGAATGTACTCGATGGTCGTGTAATGTAATGTTTTCAGTTGCAACAGAGCTGATACCATTTTCATCTACTTTCTTCGTGTAATTTTTATCGTCTTTTACCAAATTAAGGTACTGAAGCATTTCATCGGGAAGTATAAGCTCTTCAACTTCATCCAGATTTATTTTTTCATTTGGATGTTGCTCACTAGTCATAGTCAGGTCAGCCTTAATTTGAACGTTACCTTTCTCCGTCTTTAAATCATTGTCATTATTAAAAGATGATGTTGTTTTACCGTTTCTAACTTTTCCAACAGTGTGATTACTTTCCAGGGGGATATCTAGACGAGGAACATTTATTACTGCATTCAAATTTATGTTTGGCACTGGCTCAGATTGCCGCCGAAATATATTATTCGGGATTGCTTCATCAAGTTCGATATCTCTTGCAGGGGTGTTGTTGTTTATATGTAGTGACTGCATAAAGTTGGGAATTGAAAATCGACCGCCGGTTGAATTCTGAAAACAGCTCTCAGAATCTGTCCCCTGCAAGCGCTTTAAATTTGTGTCGATTAAATGAGATGACGGAGGCGGAGGAAAACTGTTATTATAATAACCAAAACATTGAACACCAGAATCCGAGTTATGAATAGAAGTACTTGGGCTGCGGTTTGAATTCGACTCTTTGTTTGTCGAAGTCAATAATGATGTTGACGTCAATGCGTAGCAGTTGGCTGCATTTGACATTTGGCTAGAGCGCCGCGAACATCCTGGTGAAATAGGATCATAGAAGGAAGCTGTTGTGGTGTTGTACGAAGGTCCTGGTCGCATTGTAGATATAGAAGACACCTGGGATGATTGACTACTTCGACGACTTTGCATACTACCATAATACGTGCTTGCAGTAGAATTCTGACTATCGCGACGAAACTGTCCTTGCACCGAGCCAGAACCGATAGGAAGGCTTTGCTTATTTAATATTGTACTCTGGGTTTGTGATAAATCTTCGGGAAACCTTTCTAGGCACGTATTCAAAGGCATTGGAACTTTAATGTCACCAGAGGTACCTGGTTCCATCTTGAGTTCAGTAATTCGCTGGTTAAGTTCGCTGATTCCAATAATCCGATTGCTTTCCGGAATGTTGCAGAGCATAGCCGTACTTGAGTTTATAACTTTAGTTTGCAGACGACTTCTAAACCGTTGTCTCGCCACAACACCACTTCCAATAGTCGAGGCAGACGCATTTCCGCTGCCAATATTTACCATAGCACGCAAAACAATTGGTAGGTCGGCCACGTCTACGTCATCCTCACAATTCCACCCATCATCCAATGTTAAATTCTCGACAACGTCATCTGGTGAGTATGTTAACAAACAGTCTGAAGGTCGGACTCCATTTATCAACTGATGATGTGGCGAGTTTCCATCTGACTCAGATTTAATGCTGGGGCTACCCAGGCCTATAATCTTTCCTATAGGCAGGTCTTCGCTGCAAGGGCTTGAGTCAATATTATGCTCTTGAAGATTATTCCGAACCTGGCCACTGTCTCTTTGTAACCGGGAGTTAGCATCATTTAGAGGTAAGCCTTTATGTTTTTTATTTGCATAGAACTCAGCACCGTGGACTGTTTTTACATGTTTTCGCAAAGAACTCGGGTCGGTGTAACGTTTTGTGCAACCAGGCGCTTTACAAATGTATGGTTTCTAAAAAAAACGTTAAAGATAAAACGGGATTTTTGAATCGGGGGAAGTATTTTTACCTCATTACTGTGAGTACGATTTTGATGCTTGGCACGATCGCTAGCATTACTAAAAGCTTTGCTACATCCTGGATATTCACAGGTGTATGGTTTTTCGCCTGTATGTGACCGTAAATGAGTTTTAAGGTTTTCCAAGCGTGAGTAAGCCTTGAAGCAGCCTTCAAACTAGAAGAAAAAATATAAAAAATAGGAATGAAAATCATTTATTTATTTTATATAAGTATATATCTTACTGTGCACTTGTGTGGTTTTTCACCGGTATGCCGACGCATGTGCACAACGAGCATGTACTGCGCTTTAAATGGTTTTTCGCCACGTGTACAATCTTCCCATCGACATATAAATGCTTTTTTATTCGTTTGGATGTGGTCATTATTTATATGTTTAACCAGTTCATCTTGTGTATTAAACTCAATACAACAGCTACGCCAGTGACAATTGGTTTCTATAAAATCCCCGGGTTCGTCCTTGATATCCGTCGTATCAGCGTTGGCACAGTCATATTCATTTAATGGAGTCGATGCTGATCCACAACTCATAAATTCCTCACAACGGTGACCTATTTTTACATCATCAGTAATACTTTTGGTATTATTTGCTACTTTATTATAGCAGCGGTCCGACAAATGTGACGAGGCACTATCCGCTTCTACTTGAGCCACACTGCCAGATGTTGAGGAAGGCTGCTCAGTGACATTATTTTTATGTTGTCGATTTTTCAAGTTTCCATGGTCGAAATTCTTTATCTAAAATTATTTAAGTATTAATCATATTAATTTAAAAAATATTGTAATTACCGAGAGAGCTGCCACCTGCGCATGTTTATCATTAAGTAACCTTGCAGTTGAAGATGTTGTGATTTGGCTAGATAAATCGTTTAGATTAGCATGAACATCATCCAGGCTTAAGACAGTAGCGCCAGCCCCGTGGTTTACAGAAAATCCAGCGGCAGCTGCTTGTTGTGAAGTCATGGGATTTAGAAGTCCTGCACTTGCTCGTAACAAATGAGCTTGTATTTGCTGTAAACGTGGTGCCAATGTTGAATGTGCATGAGACATGGGATTAATGGCACTAGCTGAAATGTGACCGTATGAACCACTAGCTACGCTGCTTCCTCGAGAACCGTTCATAATTGTCGCTAAAGAGTTTGGCGAAAATCTAATCATTGAATTAATGTCAAACGAATCAGAATAAGGCGACGAGGAAAGGGCTCGTTTACGGCTAATGCTGGCACGAATACTTCCTCCCTGTGGTCGAGGGCTACTTAACCGCCTGTTGCCATCGATGCTAAAGTGAAAATCGGTACTTGCAAGAGACCCTGCGGCTGCTGCTGCTACAGCCGCGTGATGCAGGTCCCCTAGAGAACCCATACCTCGACTGCCCAAAAAATCTCCTGACCCCAAACCAAGACCAGCAAGGTGAAAAGCTGACGCACAGTTCACATAGGGATCTAAGAAATTAAAAATACATATTAAAATTTTCCTGAAGGTTTTTGTATAATAAAAGAAAGACAATACCATGAAACGATGTAGTTGAACTACTTCTTTGAAGCGAATACAACTGTTCCATATATCCGGGAATTCTATAGGCTGGGTGAAATTCATGGGCATGAGACTGCCCATTAACATTCAAACTATGAACATGTTGATGCTGAGGATTGTGATGGTGGCCAGAAATATTCGATAGAAGTGTGTTTCCATTATTAATAGGTGATTGAATTGAAGTTGCTGTTTTAATTGAATCAGATCCTTCAATTGTTGGAATCATTGTGGGAGCTGATACCGAGCTTGAAACATCTGTCGAATGTACGTGGTTAATGCACGGAGAGCCTGGTAAAACTGTTGCCGCGGCAGCCACGGCAGCAGCTCGTCTGGATGCTAGGAACTGCAATTCAGAGTATCTACAGAAAAAGAAAATAAACATTTTTCAATTTAATAATATCACAAAGTTATTTTTAATTTAAGGATTAAGTTGTGCAAAACTAATGAATTGAATTTTCTTTGTGGTGTAATTTTAAATAAGATAAGTCCATCAAAAAATTTGACTACCTGTCACTACCAATGTGATTTACTAATAAAACCGCTGCTTTTGATTGGTAAATAATTGCACGATACTGTAAAAGAAGCATATCCAAATTTCGTTTAGTCCTGGACTATAACATAGCGACTTTTATAAAGAGCGAAACCAATTTAGAATAATTTTTAAAAACGAATGCAGTATCGGGAAAAAGAGACTACTATATCACTATGAGGCAGTACTTGTAGTGACAATGCGCACCAACAGCGTGTGTATAGGATATAAAATATTGGGTGCATTCTAAGACTTTTCGAAATAGTATTGGGTCAAAAGGAAGGGTGGTATAAAGCTCTTGGGTCCAGTTAAGTAAATGTTCTACTTTTTTAGTATATTTTCAATTTTGTTGAAATTACGCATTGAACAACACCCAACTTGTTTACATCTGATACTCCGTTGAAATGTTCAATATTAAGTTCAAATTGTATCCCAAAAAAAAATTTTTTTGAATCTTTGTTTGTCGGATCAAAAAAAAAAATTTAGGCACCTGTCTTAGGATCCTAGAATAATTGTTGATGTTCTGGGCCGGCCGTTAGAAAAAACATTTGTTCTTCGACTTTAAAAAAAACTAGCTAGTTTGGAGGAAAATCATCCTTAACAAAGTTGATCTACATTTTTTTACACTTTTTTTAAGGAATTTTTTTAAACTCTTTTTTATATATTGCCCTCGAGATTCCTTAGTTTTTGTTGTACAGCAGATGGACCTAAAAAGTAATTTTTCAAATTTTTTGATCATTTAAAGCGGAAACTTTTCTCAGTTCCGAGCAGCTAAAGCTGCGTTGGCATTTGGTGAGGAAATTGTTTTAAAAAAATATTTTTAAGTTAGAGGAAGAAAAATGTTCACTAAATATATTTTGAATATTAATTACTTTTAATACTCTTGCAGAGGGTACTATAAATTCAGTCAGAAGTTTGTAACGCATTGAAGGGGACATTTTCGACCTTATATAGTACATATGTCCGTCCGTCTGTCCGTCCATTTCTACGCAAAGAAGTCTCTCAGATTTAAAGCTATCTTCATGAAACATTGCCAAAAGTTGTCTTCCTGTTGCAGGTAGTACATAAGTCGGAACGAGCCGGATCGGGTTTTATAATTTTGGTTAGAAATTTGTAACGCACTGAAGGAGACGTTTCCGACCTCATAAAGTATATATATTTTTGATCAGGATCAATAGGGGAATCGATATAGTCAGTTCGCCTGTCCGTCTGTCGGATATAACTTGCACGAATTAAAGATATTTCGCGAAGTGTAAAAGCTATTGACATGAATCTTTTCAAATCTTATTTTGTTATGCATACCTTGATGAGGGAAAAAGGGCGTACCTATCAGACGGGTATATCTTATAGGAATAACAGGATGAAATCGGTCCAACTTTGATTTTTCAATTTTCAAGTATTATTTATTTACGCATACCTTGAGCAACGTAAAAGCGCTTGCCGATCGGAAATCTATACCTTATAACTTCCATGGGAATAATTGTTAATTGTTTTAATTGTTAATTGTTTTTTTTTTTCTCTCCCTACTTTTGTAATTTTTGAAATTTCGGTACAGGCTGTAAGGGTATTAAAACATCGGCTTGCCGAAGTTAGCTTCCGTCCTTGTTTAATTTTTTTTAGTTCTTCGAGATGTGGTAATGGTTAAATATTTCAGAATTACGCTTTAAATTTCATAAAATTGGATCATATAGCTCTCATTGAAACAATCGGAATACTAAAAAAAAATTTTTAAATGTTTACTTCTCCATTTTTGATTTTTTTTAATTCTTTTGGTAATAGTAATAATTTCATAGTTCAGATTTACGGTTTTAATTTAATTCAAATCGGAAAACGATTTCATATAGTTCCTATAGGAACGTTCGAATAATTGAGCTGAAAATCATCATAGCTTTAACGTTTCTAAACTTATACGCAAATAAATTAAAATTTAAGTGTTTTCAAGAATGTTTCATTTTTGCAATAGCTGCAAGGGTATATAAACTTTGGCTTGCCGAAGATATTAAAAACTAATTATTATTAATTTAAGCAAAATTGTATAAATCCAGTTACCATGCCAAAAAGTGAGCAAGATTTAAACATTGAACAATTTACTCGTTATTTTGTATACCTTTATTATTTCATTCAGACGTTTGCAAAGCGGTGAAGGAGATTTTTCTGAAGCTTGTATGTCGTTTATGTTCGTCTGTCTGTCCGTCTGTCGTCCGTCCGAATGAGCGTCAAGATCTCGGAAACTTTAAATATTTTATTTTTTACGATTTGACTTGCAGATTCTATTAATTCTGGAAAAACTAGCCACGCCTACTCTAACGCCCGCCCTAATGCCTATCAGGGGCAACTCTTCTGCAAACACCAAAACCAATGCAACAAAACACAAATACATTGGTTGGAGAGTTTTCTTCCTCAAGTCGTTATACTGAAAAAAATTATAGTATATATAAAATTATAGTATATATACATAATATATATATATATAAAAGATTAAAAAATAAAAAAAATAATAACGCCTGGGCATTAAATATGAATTATGTAAAGTCCGCATACTATGCAAAAAATTTAGCAAGATAGTATATAGGATATAGTCGTCGGATCGGCATTAAAAATACGATTTGGAAAGTTTTAAGAATATTTCTTTTATACAGCGCAAATAATCGGCATTTCCCCGTTTCTAATATTGGCAACTTTTTAATCAAGCAACAACAAATAATAATATTTTAGAGGTATTTTAAAGGTAAGATAAAATTTAGCCAATGTCATTTTCTGAATAAGGGAATCGTAATGTACTAGAAAATCACTAGAATATGGGCAATTCCAGGACTTCTCAATATTTTGACCAGTGTTTTATCAGATGTGTTTTAAGTAAGTGCGTTTTCTTCAATTTTGCACACAAATATTTGATTTAAAATGTTAAAGGTAATAGATTGGCTGAAAATTTTTCCAGGTGAAATGCTCTAGTCGAAAAAAAAGAACACCCACAGAATACTTATAATAATTACAATACGTATATTCCAATCAAAAATGTTGTAATATTACCAGTACCACTTAGTTTATAATAACACCCGACTATATCAAATAGCTTTAATAGGAACAATCGAAAACATTTTGTTTATAACTTTGGTGTTTACCTTGCAGAGGGTATTATAATTTCAGTCGGAAGTTCGCAACGCGGTGAAGGAGACATTTGCCGCCCTATAAAGTATATATATTCTTAATCAGCATCACTAGGAGAGTCGATCGAGCCATGTCCGTATGTCCGTCCATCTGTCCGTCCGTCTGCTCATTCGTCCGTTTCTAACGAGTCTCTCAGTTTTAAAGCAATCAGCATAGAGCTTTCCAAAAGTTGTTTTTCAGTTGCAGGCAGTACAGGGTGCGTCATCTCGAACTTCGGTATAGAAACACTGAATAGCTTCGACGTTTGTGAAGTGATTGGCTTGGTTCGTTTTGGAAACGTCAATCCGTAAAATTTGAGCCATGAACCACTTAACTCCAAAAGAATGTGTCAAAGTGATGACCTTGTTTATCAAAAATGGGCGTTCAATTGTGAAAACGTAGCGTGCGTATCATTGTGTGCCCGGAGACGCGTTGAAAGGGTCTAAAAAATTTCTGGCTTGTACAGAATCCATCCTGGGCCCCAGTCCTAAGTTACACGTTGTGTCAAAAAGAGGCGATATCGACTGTTCGCCGGATTTTGCCCCGCCGGACTTGTTTTGTGGGGTTATCTGAAGAGCAAAGTTTACATGAGCAAGCACAAGAACATCACAGAGCGCAAGAAGTGTATTCGATCCGAAATGGCCAATATATCGGCCGATGAGCTCGAGAAAGTCATGAAAAATGTATGAAAGAGGGCACTTTTTGCCATCAAGAACATACGTGACCATTTGGTCGATATTGTATTCAAAAACAAACACAAATAAATTGTAAAGGATCAATCTAAATTAACAAAAAACATTATTTATGAATTTTCGTTTATTTCCAAAGTCATTTAATATTTTAATGCCGAAGCTCGAGATGGCTTACCCGTTATATAAGTCGCATGGAGCCGGATCACAATTCTATTTCAAAGAGCAGTGTTCGGCACTTTTTACACTGTTCGGAGATAGGCTTTGCCGACCAATTCTATAGAATAACAATTCTTCAAGATATACATAGTAATGGATTGATATTTGGAAATTACGGTTTTTATTTATATTAAAATCAGACGACTTCATGTTTAGCTTCTTATGGAACAATCATAATAACAAAAAAACAAGAAAGGAATTAAATTTCGGCAACTCCGTCTGTATGTCCGTCTGTATGAACGTCGAGATCTCGGATACTATAAAAGCTACAGTTTTAAGAGTTTATTTCAAAACGGGGCCACGCCCACTCTAACGCCGACAAATCGTGCAAGTATGTACTGTCACTCTGAGACATTTTAGACCGTAGGTGTTGTTTCGGTTATATCTATTGGTAAACACAATTTTTTTTTTTCAAAAACGAGCATATATTCTAGGATTTCCGAGAGGTGGGGGTGCCGCACGCACTTAGCTTTTAGTGTTGGCTATGCATTTCGACAGATGGTGCCAGTTCGCATTGATAAGCGCTACACGAACAGTATAAAACCGCTGTCGGCACACACAAATTGACAAGTTTCCCCGTGCAAATCACTCACAAAAATAAAGTGTAAGCATTTCATGGTATTTGTGCTATCCGCCGCTCTCCGATTTTCCAAAATACAAAGCGACGTCAAAACATAATTGCCAAAAACTTCTAAAGTAGCTCGATCTAGAATTTTTGTGTCTACCAAAAAAACTTTAATACGAATTTTTTAAATCGAAATAATAGATATTGGTAAAGTATTATTAAGTTACTAATCGAAGACAATAGTAAAATATTTTAAATTAATTCATAACGAATAAATTTTTAATATTAGACTTAGTTTGAAAAGGAAAAAAAAAATCGATTCGCATAATTCTTCAAAAACCACTAAGCTTGCGAAATTTTCGCTGATCTATCTTACACCAACTATAAGCCATAACCGTCCGATCGGCCAGTTTTTTGTGATCAGATCACGTTTTGTCATATATATGTTTTTTGTTCCATTTTTTTGCGAATACTTTAACTAAATAAACAGCAGTTAATTCGCGTAGAGTAGGAACTATTCACATAAAACTTTCAAAATCGAATTACGATTATTTCACTTTTTTGGCTCAGTGGGTAACTGCAATATGAAGGACCGAGTAATTGAGCTAAAAATCATTACAGCTACAATGTTTTTAAGCATTTAAAAAATTTTAATGTTTTAAAGAATATTTACTGTTTGCAATACCTGCAAGGATATATAATATTAAACTTGTTGAAGTTTGCTTCCTTCTTTTTTCTTAATTGACGCTGTGCAACGATATAAATGAAGAATCGGCCCATGAAATATATAAAATCTTATTAAAAAGAAAAACTTTTTAAACTCAACATAGTAAACATAGTCCGATATCGGCACAAAAGAAAATTAGCAAGGCCCTAATAAAAAAAACTAATATATGTAAATAAAAATGATAAGAAAATACATTTACTTTGTAACACATTTTTTATTGTTTTGATACAATACTTTCTGAGAAAAATAAAAAAAAACAAGAAAGGAAGCAAACTTTGGTAAGTCGATTTGAACCAAATTAAAAGCGTAAATCTAAACTAAAATTATAAATATGTCCAAACGATCTTTTAAAAAAAAAAGTCAAAAATTGAGAATTTAATTTAATTAATAGTCGTACGATGAAATTAAAACCGTAGCTCTGATATATTTAATCATTGATATATCTATAATAACTAAAAAACTAATTTAAAACTCAGCAAAGCTATAAATTTTTTCCGAATTTTCCTATGGGAGCTAAATGCAAAAGTCGTCCGATCCTGCTCGTTCCTACTTATATACTACTGATCTTCTACTACTACTACTGCTGATCAAGAATATATATACTTTTAGAGTCGATAATATCTCCTTCACTGCGTTTCAAACTTCTGACTGAAATGTTAATACCTCCTGAAAAGGTATTAAAAGGGAGATATCTTTTTTGGGTCTATATAGATAGAATTTAACATCCAGAACAACATTTTACATCAAAACTTACGCAAGCGGAAAATATGTTGGTAAAGCGTAGGCGTCCATTTTATTAATGTTAGTCCTTAAGTGTTGATGACCGTTAAGTTTTTACGAATAAAACTATGCCACCAATTGATTCCGTTTTATTTTGCATTCACCGACGGCACTTATCGATGTTGACGGACATTTCAATGGTAGCGTTTGAAAGCACTGTCACAATTTTTTTTAATAAATTAGTTGCCGTTTCCTGACGAAAATTTAAGCAACATTGCATTATTTAAAATATAAGTCACTTTCATCTTATTAAATATATACGATTTTAACGGTGTATACGCGCAACTTTCTAAATCACAAGGTCTACAACTAGCTCTCATAGTTCATTTCCTAAGATTTAAAGTCGCGAAATGTTATTAATTTATATCTTAATTTATAAGTAGCGAATAATAAAACAAATTATGTATGACAAAGTCAATATCGTTTGTATGCTGCGTCTTATTGCTGTGTTTCTTCCGAGTGGACTGAGTGATATTAACACTAGCTCTTGCAATGCTTCGTTAGTTTAGATGAAGCAGTTCGAATCTCCTCTCCTCTCACATATACCTTTGCCCGAACACAGATACTGCTACAGATGCTTACATAGATACATTTTAAAATACAAACACAGGCTTAACCTCAATACAGAAACAAGTGCATTGCTGATTGAATGTATGTGTGTACAAACAGATCACGAACAGTCGGCGAAGGCGGGCAGATCGAAGATGGCTACACAATACATACGCATTAGCCCAAGATACTTTTTGGTTACAGTGGTGACGATTTAGCTATTTTACTTCTAAAGCAAAATAACCTGCAGTAAAAGTTCAATTGTTTACGCTGTTTCGACTAACTCTGAAGTAGGTTGGTTGGTTGGTTTTGGCCTTGAAGTCACTACTCAAAAATATTTTGTTATGCTGAAAACGTAGAGCCGATTAGCCGCGCCTATGCATACGCATACGTATGTACATGGGATCACTTACTCTCACATATATTTACAGTCCTTTTCTCTCTCTTTTTTTAGCTCTCACTTGTTGTATCTGTTCTCACCCTCCTCTTCTGCTGTGTTGAGAGGGTTTTTGGGATCTACATTATATGTGTATGTATGTATATGCATTTGTACATGCATATGAAACCATTTGTTGTACAGAGTTTGTTGTATTTCTTAATTATACCCTTGCAAAGAGTGTTTTAAATTAAATCAGCATCTAGCAAGGGCTGAGAAGTCCCGCAAACTATACAAAAGTATAATTTAGCAACGACGTGCGTGAAATGGCATGTGTAAAAACCTCCTCAAATCAGTATGAATATTAATATTTATTATAAGAATAGCTTTAACAAATTTAAGAATTTATATCTAGAAACAATTCATGTATTTAAAAAATTTTATAAGCGTACCAGGGTACCCAGTTTATAAAAAAAAAATAAGAAAAGCAGTGCATTTTTATAATGTGTATACACATATGTACATATGTATGTACATATGTTTTTAGCTGTTTATCTTATAACACATACACATGTATGTATGTAGTACCATCCTTTCGCCTAATATGATAAAAGAGTTTTATGTTTCGGATTGAAGTCATTTTTTCCGAGATTAAGATACAACCTTGACAAAATTAAGCAATAAAAAATATATTTTAAGCTGTAAGTTGTTTAAATAATAACAAGAAAGGAAGCAAACTTCGGCAAGCCAAAGATCATATACCCTAGCAGCTATTTCAAAAATTAAATATTCTTGAAAACATTAAAATTATGATTTACTTGCGAATATGTTTAAAAGCATTGAAGCTATGATGATTTGCAGCTCAATTATTCGATACGATATCGTTTTCCGATTTAAATAGAACAAAGACAACTTTTGGGAAAGTTTCATGCAGATATGTATGTAGCTTTAAAACTGTGACTAGTTTGCATAGAAACGGACAGACAGACGGACGGGCATGGATACATCGTGATGATCAAGAATATATATACTTTATAGAGTCGGAAACGTCTGCTTCGCTGCGTCGCACTACTGACAGAAATTATAATACCCTCTGCAAGGGTATAAAAATGTGTCTGTTTATAGTTTTAAGCAGATTTTAAGACTTTGCGCTCGCCAGAAAATTCTTGAGGCAAAGATATGAATGTTTGGTTCGATTACACTGGTATGTTTTTATTTCTATTTCAATTCAGTAGAAAAGATTAAGAATAAGTTAATATATTTATGTAAAGTAACATTGTTCATAGGTATGTATGTATGTATATACATAAGTGACAATATGTTTTTAAATTGAACAGTATTCTTGCGCTGTTATAGAAGAAAATTTCAGGTAGAAAATCTCTAACTCAGTTTATTACTTTTACAACTGTAAGGGTGTGTATATCAATTTTAAATTGACTTTAATTCTTTCTTTTTAAATTACGTGAAGCAGAACATGCTGATCCTTTTGTGTACAAATAAAAATGAAATATCTACATTTTTTTTTTGCAAATTGAATAACTTTTTTTAGGGTGGCTGTAACTGAGTTTACCAACATTGAGATTAACATTACTGTACTTTTCATAGCCGTAAAGTTTTCATTGTTTAACTATGTATATATATATATGTAACTATATTTAATTTCTTCTTTATATTTTTAGTAATGATTTTGAAATCCAATTAGAATGCATTCGGCCTTAAAAAGAATCAAGTAACATCAGAGAGAACGACGTTATAAAACTGTTTTTAAATTTGCGAACCGATTATTAGCAGGAGGCGTACACATATAAATTGGCTTAAAAGCAACCCAATGTTGGCATTTCTTCATTTAACTCGGTGAAAAATGCTGTTATTTATACCCAGGATCCCGGAAGCTATAAACGTCGTTTTGGGATATGCTGTTGGCCGTTATAGCCGATTTTTGTTCGGTCATTTCTATCGAAACTCATAGAAATGAATCATAACTAATTAAAAATACGGGGGTTAGAGGTGCTGCTCTCAATTAGCTTGTAGATAACGCTACCTTATACCCAATTTTATTCTAGGGGGGTTTTTATTTTGAAATTGGTAAGCTGAGTAAGGAGTATCTATTGTTCGGGGTTCTTGACTATAGGGTTGTTGCCACTAAATGCATTACAAATTTGATATGTATAGAAACATATGATATCCTTAGTACTTAACATTTTTAAGTTTCTATAAAGTTAAACCTGTTAATTAATTATATGAAACAACTTTTTTAATTTTATGAAACTTTTATAAAAACAGACCCAATTTGAACAGTAAAAAATTTATTTTGCTGCCAATTATGAATTTTGAGAATGTAACCTACTATTTTGCGTTAACGAGGGTTAAGTGCATATATTATTGATCAACATCAACAGCTGAATGTAACCAGCCATGTTCATCTTTTGGATAGACGGACATCCAAACAACGATCGACACACACACACAGTGACAGCTTTGCCTCCGTTGTGTGACTAATTTGCACAACCCAACATGTTTTTGTATATCTAAAAACTGCTGTTGCATACTGTGCGTGTGTCAGCAGGTCGCCGACAGAGCTCTTTTCTGTGTCTGTAAAATAGGGACGTGCTAACCGTTGATCAACATGAAACTTTTACAATAGTTTTCTTTTAAGTGCAGGTAGATGGAATGACATCGGACGACTATATCATATACAGTCATGTGAAAATGTAAACGACACCTTTTCAACAACGGACTATAAAATTACTATTTTCAACATTTTTAATGGAATCTATTTGAACACCCCTGCAGAGTGCTTTAAAAATTGGGTCAGTTGTTGCTAAATTTTGAAACTTTCGCAATGCTATTTTTTATGTGTACGCAGTTTATGTTTAATAAATAAACCGGAATTCGATTGTGTTTTCAATATTTTTCTTTTAGAGAAGTTAATATGCATAATAAAACTCGACTTGAACGCAAAAAACATTCCCCACCATTTTTTGTATTTTCCCGTTCCATTTTCTATATCAAATTAAAATTGCTTTATATCTCTCTCTTAAACTGATTTTTTTTTCGCATGCAACCTTAGGATTTTTCTTAAGGAGTAGCAAAACCGCCACGTCCATTTTCCGACGAGTCAAAGCCAGGGAAAATTTGTACCCCTTACTCGTCGAGTAAATGGGTATTTGGTATCTGTTTAAATGAATGTAACCCATAGAAGAAAGAGGGTTTGACCCTATGAAGAATACTTGAGTCGATCTAGCCATGTCCGTCTGTCTGTCTGTCCGTGTGAGCGTCGAGACCTCCGAAACTATAAAAGCTAGAGATTTGGGATTTGACATGCAGATTAAAGTAATTCTAAAGTAATTCTAACAAATCACTAAAATCTGCCGCGTAACTCTGACACTTATTGAACCTTTGTCAATGCCGTTCTTTAATTAACGCCAACTAAGCCCCGATTGTTTTCTGGAATAATATATATTTTTAAATTTGTTAGCCAAATAACGGGTGTCGAATAGTCGGGGAATGCGATTGTAGCGTTCTCTCTTGTTTTTTTAATTGCATGCGCACTCTGTTTAGAGCTACCATCTCGGCAGAATTATAAAGGATTATAATATTATTTAAAAAAGAAACTAGTTTAAGTATAAATAACTAATTCTTGGCCTAAATTAAGTTTTTGTAATAGCTAAATTATCTTGCTTTCAATTTGCGTGCCTTGCTACAAAAACCTGGTAAGGTTAAGCAAATTTGTAGCCCATAAAAGAATAATGCGTGGCAAAGACATGATTGAATTAAGTGTTTCAACATTTTGGCAGCATCTTCAGATTCACTTTTTCATATCTATGGAATGCCTAGTCACGAAAAGAATTACAATAAATTTGAAAAAATTATATCATATCATAATAATATTTGTTGAATTTTGTTAATATTAATAGTAGGCACCGAAATGATTTTTAATTTTAATTTAGATAATTCATACGAAGGTGCCAAGATAGGTGTAAAAGTGGGAATAAATTGTGTTATTGGAAAGCCGGTATATTAGGATGTAGCTCTAACAAACACAACTGTGCTTTTATTCAGAAAATATTTTGGTTACAAAAATATTGCAATCGACTTATACTAAATTAAACTCAAGGGGTAAGTTTTTTTCTTAGAAATTTTAGCAGTATAATTAGTCAATAATTTACGATTTTGTAAAAAGTTTTAAAATATTAAATGGAGATATTGTGTTACGTATTACAAATTCTAACTTATAGCCTGATTCCATTGCCGCATTAGTGGACTTTTTAAATGTGCCTGATTCCATTGGCGCATTAGCATTTAGTTAATGCTACTCCGACATGTGAGTGGCACGAACAGCTGATCTGGGCTTGTTTACTTTTAAATTTTGGCAAATACAAAAGAAATTAATTAAAATTAATGAACATGAGTGAGTTTACTAAACTCTGTAATGCTCAGCAGGACATCCATATTGCGACCGAGACATTTGCCAACTTGAACGACAAAGAAGAGAAGCTGATTGCGTTGTTATGACGGGTTTGCAATGGAGGCTACCTCAGTTTCCAAAAAAGGCAAGGA